TTGGCATTCTCATATGAACTATTAATGTACACTAGAGTATTCGGATTGAATTACCGGGATCAATCTAATAATGAAGTTTTCTTTTAATCTCAGAACGAAACTAAACTATCAAACAAGAAAAAAAAAAATAAAACAAAACAAAATAAAAGAACGAAGTTCAGATAAAACACCCATGATATCACTATGTTAGTCAAGTAGTCTTGTATAACTTAAGAGGGGGTTGAATTAAGTTATCTAATTTTTTCTTTCTTTATGAGTTTTTCTAAATTCTTTCTTATAAATTCATTATAAACAAATTGTATGTAATGATGCAAAGACTTCACAATCATAATTAAAAGTATAGGGAAATAGAATTGCAAACTTGATTTTATACTGGTTCGGCCAACCTTGTCTACATCCAGTCCTCAAGTCTCCCACTTGAAATTTCCGTTATTCATATAACTTTTACAAGACTTGAATTCTCCAACACCTTGGAATTTCCTTTCTTTGTGTTGAGAATCACAAACCAACAAGGAGAACAACATTTTCTCCTTTTATATATATATATTCACTTAATGTGAAAATTTCAGCCTTTTGAAGCTGAAAAAAATAATAATGTAAAAGGTAAGAATAATTCTTTTTTAAATCAAGAATGATTAAAACCGAGAACGCCAAGTGCATGACAGTTTTAATTGTGTATTCATGATGGGGCCATTAATTAACATTTTTACTTGTCTGCTGACTCTTTAATGACTTGTAATTTTAATAGTGTTTTAAATTATCTACACTTAGCATTTTATATTAAATAATATTAATTGAGTGCGTACTTTTCAATTACTTACATATTTTTCTTTTTTCAGTTTTACTTTACACGTCAGTGAGTTTATCTTCTAATAATAACAATAAAGATATATAATTTTAAGGTTGCAACTTTCTCTCAAACTCTGTACATAGTAATGTCATGTCATAGATTCAAATTCAACTAAAGAAAAATATATATATTAGATCATAGTTTGTATTATTTTGTTTAAGTAATGTGGCGATAGACTGAGCTGTACGTACCATTTTATTGTTTAAAGCAGCTCAATTTAGATGTTTGGCATTCTCATATGAACTATTAATGTACACTAGAGTATTCGGATTGAATTACCGGGATCAATCTAATAATGAAGTTTTCTTTTAATCTCAGAACGAAACTAAACTATCAAACAAGAAAAAAAAAAATAAAACAAAACAAAATAAAAGAACGAAGTTCAGATAAAACACCCATGATATCACTATGTTAGTCAAGTAGTCTTGTATAACTTAAGAGGGGGTTGAATTAAGTTATCTAATTTTTTCTTTCTTTATGAGTTTTTCTAAATTCTTTCTTATAAATTCATTATAAACAAATTGTATGTAATGATGCAAAGACTTCACAATCATAATTAAAAGTATAGGGAAATAGAATTGCAAACTTGATTTTATACTGGTTCGGCCAACCTTGTCTACATCCAGTCCTCAAGTCTCCCACTTGAAATTTCCGTTATTCATATAACTTTTACAAGACTTGAATTCTCCAACACCTTGGAATTTCCTTTCTTTGTGTTGAGAATCACAAACCAACAAGGAGAACAACATTTTCTCCTTTATAGATCAATAGATGAATTGAATAAAGTAGAGCGACTCTCTTTTGAAGAGTGGATTTTACACTTTGTTGATCTAGTAGAACTCTTTAGATAATCTTTGCAAATGACTTTGGCCAAGTGATTTTTAAAGAGAACTTTTCACAATTGAGTTCGTAATCTTCCTCTGAAAAATTATATGTATTTATAGACAATTGTTTCTTAGATTATGTCTTTTCATGAATAGTTGTAACTTTCTATAATTTTTCAGAAAATAGACTCTGATAATCGATTACAACGGTTTAAGTTCAAAATGTTTGAAACGTATAATTTAAATTCAAATTTTGAAGTTTTATCTTCTGGTAATCGATTACAGGAATTGGTAATTGATTACTAGAGCACGTTTTAACATTTCAATTTTTAACAGAGAAGTTTTCATCCCCTGGTAATCGATTACATGTACTGGTAATCGATTACCAGACTCATAAAACAAAAATTAGCTTATTAAAACTTAAGATATAGAAAACTTCTATTTTCAAAACCTTATTCTTATATTCAAAAAGATTATATTTGGGTTTTCTTGAAATTCTTTATTTTAAATGGCCAAGTAATCTTATTCAATATTTCTAAAGATTTATTTTTTACATATAAAGCTAGGTTGACAAGACTTATCTAGTTAATATTTTGAGATTTTTGTTTCTTGATCAACTTACTTTAACTTGACATTTTATTTTCTACAATTGCTTTGACATCATCAAAATCTTATACATATGTTCTTCCACACACTAAGCATTAGAGAGCTTAGAGCTTGAGGGGAAAAAGTATTCCAAACATGTAGAGGAACCTGTTTGGAGATTATTTATTTATTTATTTTATAACTAAGAGATATGACTCTCTTTGATTAGAAAAGTGACATTTTTAATTATGATTTTATATTAAGGCAAAAATTGAATTCCAATCTTTAAAGAAGATAAATATGAAATTATTTGTGTTATCTTTTGATAGATCAACTAATATTTGAGAGTCAATTTATATATTAGAGTTTTAATTCCCAATGTCCAAACAAGTTGAAGACTATGGAGAATGGTAAATAGTTGCCATATAATAATGGAGTTATATAAGAGTTTTAGGTTTAAATTATATTATTTTTATTGTAATTCTTGTTCATTAAAAAAAACAAAACATTGTAATTAAAAGAATCATTAATTACAGAAAAGGATTTAAAACTAATTGTGATTAGATTATATAATTAAAATTAAGAAATATTTAAATTTGATATAATGAAAAAGTGATTGCAACTTTTTACTTTTAAATATATTCATATTTGTATAAAGATACAAATAAAACAAGTTATTACAGTGTTAATTTTATTATTTATATCTAAAAATTTAAATAAAAACTAATAATTATAAGATGAAGAAACAAAAATTTATAAAGTAAATGAGAAAAATTCTTTATAGAAGTAACTCAGGGAACTTTCTTATATTCTCTCATTCATAGATAGATTCAGTAAGAAATAAAAGCAATATTTACTTTATAACTAGTTTAAATCAATATTAATTAGTCATAGAATAATTTAAAATTGAAAAAGAATAAATTGTTCTTAGCATGAACTTGGTAATATAAGTATCATGTTTACCCGGTAACTTCAATCACAAATTACATTACTTACTATAAATTCGGTTAAAATATGAAAAAGTATTGTAACATTCTGTCTTTTCAAGTGTTTTTTAAGACGAGAAAAGAATATTTCAATATTTATTAGAATTAGTTATAGTTGCATTTTTTTTTCATTTGATTTTAAAAAAAATAATAATTTAGAATAAATTTAGACCAGTAAAAAAAGAGACACTTCGTACTTTTGAATTATTTTTTTTTAAATTAAAATAAAATCATAAAAAAATAATAAAGTGGGTAGTGAGTAACTATGAAAAAGTGTGAGAAAGTTACTGGTTTGATAGAATTATTTTAAAAATAAAAATAACATAAGAGAAAAAATAATGAAGCGAAAACGAATATAAAAATGAGAATGAAGAGAATTTTATGTTCATGTGGCTCATTCTCTTCTTACACGAATTCTTATTTACGCACGAGTTTCATGTTTCCAAACGCCGAATAGATTGATGGCATAGTTCTTGGAAAGTAGGATCTAAGCTTTAATTTATATATTATTTATTTATTTATTTTTATCAATATGAGGTTTAAATTTTTTCTCAATATACTCTCATGCTTAGTATTGTTAGGCATGGTGTATAGATAAATAATGAATATCATATATATATATATATAAACAATATTTAGATTTTCCCCGATAATGATTGAAGGTCCATGATATTACACAGATACACGATTCACATTTGCAGCAACCATTTTTCCACTGGAAATTAGTTTCCAAAAGAACATTTATCATTGATACAATATATTCGAAAAAAGAGAGGGTATTTTGGAGAAGAAAAATAAACTGCATATATAAAACGGAGGTCCACTTAACCATTAAGGAGGTATATTTAACAATTGGCATGAACATTTCCTTCCTTCGATCCAAATCATGTTGAGGCTGAACCCATAAAGGCTTGCCAGCTCTTGTTTTTATCGGTGGGCTAGTAGCCCAAATTCACAACACTTGTATGGGATAGGTAAACCTCCGATATAGTCTGTCTTTGTGAAAATGTACATTTACATGTTTGAAATTTGGGATTATTAGGAAATTCAACTTGTCTGATTGTTTTGCTTGATGGATGATCTATGTTCTTGCTTAGCCATTGCTATTGGATAAAATTTATGCTCTTGTTTCTGAAGTGAATGATGTTTTATGGGAAATTCCCTGTGAGAAGGAAACTATATAATGTTATGTGGGCTCTAATGCTCTGTACACACCAGTTTAGGGGAAAATTTGTGTTTAATTATTGTGAAGTGGAAAATATTTTGCTAGTTTGAGTATGGATGTCATGTATTGATTGAAATAGAGGTGCTGGGAAAGTTTCTAAATCCTGATAGTGTAATTTCGCGGTGAGTAAGAAAACGTGTTAGGAACCATGTGCGTTTGATATCGAGAGATTTGGTTGCAATGAGTTTTGGGGCAATACATAAAATTTAATATAACCAACACAAGAGCACTATGGATCTAATATATATATATATATACACACATATATAATAATAATAATAATAATAATAATAAATAGTCACTTAAGATAGAGCAAAATACAAATACAATAATTCTTGCAATCAGTACATCTTATTTTTGTCTCCATCATTAATAAATTAAATGTAATACATAATGACAGAAAGATAGAAAAAAAAATGGTACAAATTATACAACAAATTTGTACAAGTATCATTTCCTATATTGATTTTAATGTTCTAATACAAGCGAGTCATACTATATTATACATAGTAGCAAATATTGTCAATAAAGTCCTTTTGGCATATGGGTTATTGGAGTTCCATTACATTTGATCTAAGTCACCCTGCGTAATTACAATTTACATTTACAACTAGTTAACCACTGAATAAAAATGTACACATCAGTTTAAACGATCTGAAATTGAAACTTCAATAAAAGTATTAAACACCACAAAATTATATTATAGGAAACGACAATAAAATGGTCATTGTATTTCTTAATTTAACATGAATGCAATTGCTCCATATTGAATACAAAGAATTACATCCTCGTACCAATATAACACAAAAAAAAATCCCTCATCAGGACAAGGTCCCAAGTATCGATTTTTGGAAGGGGCGTCTTCAAGATATTGATTAGGAAATAACGATATTGTTTCATTTGGGTCTTCATATTTGAACAGATGCATTCAAACCTACAAATCTGCAAAGAAGTTGTTTGAAACACCTTGAGCATGTCCATTATTTGCATTCTTTCTCTTGCTCCCTGCAAAGTTGTCTAACACATTTAACGAAAACATATACATAGCCTTCCAAATTTCCAAAAAACATAACGTGTGTATACATTTTAGTGATGGGCACTCTAACATCCACATCTATCACAAATTATATCTCACCTTTACTCTTTGAAGGATCATCATCTAGATCCATCTCATCATCATCGTCACTGTCAATGGCTCCAGCTTCATTTCTTTGTGTGTTTCCTGAGCCTTGTAGAATATTATCCAAGTCCCATAGCTGCATAAAAGGAAGATGTGGGGTGTTCAGACGACTAATTTGTTAGTATAATCCGTGCAAAAATATAAGAAATATACAGGCACATGCAACCAATGGTTCACCTTTGTAACAGTGACCCACTAACCATTATTAATAAAAATACCTCAGATTATTGACAGGTCATTGTTATGCCAAACCATTGCAAGTTCATCCAACCACTATGTTAAAAGATATGTTTTGTTCTTTTGAAGTGCTAAGGAAAATGATGGCTAGAGCGTGCAAATAGCACTGCACTACGGTTGCACTCATGAGTGCACTTGTAACACAGACCGTGCAAGACCCTCAGTTTTAACTTTTAGCTCGGTATTAAAGTTTTGACAATTATCAAATAGAAAATATTTAGCCATCATTGGTTAGCATTACTAGTCACAACTTGTGTCTTTTAACAAAGTTTTCCAGCATTTGAATCATGACCTTAGGTACGAAATAAACTATATTTGAAAGAATACTCATTTTGTACACACTCACGATTTCTTTATAGAAATAAGTCACTGCTTTCGATGATGAAAACTTCATACCAATATCACAATTAGTAAAAAAACAATTTAATTGATGTGTTAATAGTTTATATTTCACAAGTTCACAACAGTTTAATATCCTTTATCATAAATCTATTACAATTTATAAATTATAGTTCCATCATTATAAGCACATAATTTTGAGTCTTACAACTAGGTCAACTCTCAAACTTCATTGCATATCACCAATTGTCAATAAACAATATAAGCACTCTGGTGGAAATTATTTTCTTTTACTTAAAATCTTAACCACTTAGAGTCCCCTTTATATTGAGGGGGTTAAATTATATATTGTCTCTATCTGTGATGGGCCTCCAATTTTCCAGGACAGAGGAGTTTCCTTCTCTGATGTCTTTTTAATTTTTATTTATAATTTCCATTATTTCCACTGTACCAGAGCACTGTCCACCGGAATTTTCTCATTAATTCTATAGGAAACTCAGTTTCTATCAACTTGAGAGTCTTCTGTTTTAATCCATGCACAAAAAAGTCAACATTTTGGTCCCTACATGAAAAATTATTTACAAAATAGTGCTATACATTTATTGAAGTTATATCGGTATTAGATTTTTTTCATAAAGGGACTAAAAACAAAATAAATGTCAACTTTAGGGACCACAATGTAAAAAAAAAATATATATGTAAGGACCAACATAAAGTGTAAACTGTTCCAACTTTGACAAACGGTAAGAATCAATTAATAAATGTTTGCTTCATGTAGGAGAAATAGGAACTAAAATGTACAGTTTCTTTCCTAGGAACTGAACGAAATAGTGAGGTACGAACCAAATTTTAAATTTAACCGATTTAAGTCCAACTGTTCTTGAGAACAAAGTTATGATGCCCCAATAAAATGACCATATAGGGGTTTACAGTTACAATCAAGATAATGAGTGTGTAGTATAATTATAAATGTGCCACAAAGCAGAGGAAACAATTCCATAAATTTGAGAGAATTAGGAAAGACAAGTACCTTTAACATTTGATCATGGGCAATGCTTCCAAGGAACTTCCTATCATGAGAGAATGCTACAATACCAAAGAAACCATAAGTGAATATTACAAGAGGCGAGGAATTTAAAAAAACACATGAAAACATACAGTAATGCATGCTAGTGCTCGAGCAAACAATAATGAGGCTAAAAACAGGGGGAAAAAGATGAAAAGTCCCAAAATCCTCTTACCGAGACAAAATCTAAAGAATTAATCCTTAGAGACAGGATAACTACAGAAGAAGTTGAGGCCTAAAACAAGAGTCCACATGCAGACTGAAACAGAACCAGTAAACATTAAATACTAAGAGGAAGAGACTATTACCAAGACATTCAACAGGATATTCCGAGTGTTCTGCAATTGGCTGGATGACTCTGTTAGGTAATATCCCAACCAGGCTGATCATTAAAATAAAATGTTAATATAAATGAAACAACAAAAGAAATAAAAGATTGAAATGTGATTCAAACTACAGGTAAAATGCTCTCAAACAGAAAGACTCACTTGATAATCCCATTCTCTGATCCCGTAATAATCCTATCTTCATCCAGCTAAGATTGTAAAAATAAAAAAGTTTATTACAAGACCTAAGGATGGTAAAAAAACAGGCCTACCGAAGCTGAAATAATCATGTTACGTTATATATTCACCTTCAGCATAGTATCAATAGAGTTAGAAGAGAGATCAACAAATCGATCGCTGGAATTGAAGCCAAATAGTTAGAACTTCAGTCGAACAGGTATAATAAGAAATAAAGGAGATTGAGAATATCATTATCATCTCTCTGCTTCAGAAATAAAATCATCTCTATCATGTAGTTCTGACATGTTCCACATTATATACCTACAATCCTTGAAGCATCCCCAGGAATACAATAGAATGATTCCAGTTTGTGATCCGCATACAACTTTCCTACCATTCTGTTTACCAAGCCAAAAAATGTAGATATCAGTCATGTGATAATTTAAGATGATGTGTCATACACAGTACATCTTTCAGCACAAAGAAAGACATTGACTAATGGCCTGTTTGGGCATGTTGTAAAATTATAAATAGTAGCATTTTAAGTTAAAAAAAAAACTTCAATATTTTGAATTATTTAGCCAAAGTATAAAGCACTTAAGTGACAATAGAAATAGAAAATATACCGTTAAAAGCAAGAAGAAAATAGTTCTTCTAGGAAGCAAGAATAAAAAATAGATGTATTTAATAAAATTATTTTTTCATAGCACTTTTTCAAAGGAACATTTAAAAAAATCCTGCAAAAGCATTAATATTCACTGCAAACTCATCATCATGGGTATAGAATATGATACCTTCATTAAAACAACAGATAGTAGCTCATCTTCAGAAAATTCTGATTGAGCTTGTACCTATCAACAAATCAGGAAAAGGTGGCTTAAAATTCAAATGCAATAAATAAACAGTGTTTATGTTTTAAAAGGAACACAAAAATTAAGATATACAGCTTACTTTATTTCTTCGAAGATTGCAAACAGACAGAGTCCCATCTCCACTTAACAACAAAAGAAAATTGAACAGGGGAAAGAAGTTAGACTATAATGATGGGTCAAGTAAGTAGAATTTGAAAAATAGATTGTTATAATATTCATTGTTGTGATTCAGGAATTGTGTGTATTGTTGTACACATACCAATCTTATTTATAGAGTGAATATAATAAATGATAGAGATACTCTCTAATATTATGGAAACTAATCTAATCATATCCCTAATTGATAGTAAGGATAATAATCATAATATATGTATCCACAATATCTGTAATATATTCACAATATCTGTAACACTCCCCCTCAAGCTGGAGCATATATATCATATGCACCAAGCTTGTTACAAATGTAATCAATCCGAGGTCCTTTAAGCGATTTTGTGAACACATCTGCTAACTGGTCACCAAAAGCGGTTGGAGGCAGCGGTCGGAGGTGGCGACTAGAAGCGGCAGTCGGAGGCGGCGACCGGAGACGGCGGTCGGAGTTAGCGATTGGAGGCGGCGACTGGAAGCGGCGGTCGGAGTCAGCGACTGGAAGTGGCGATCAGAGTTGGCGACCGGATGCAGCGGTCGGAGTCAGCGACCGGAGGCGGCGACCGGAAGTGGCGGTCGGAGTTGGCAACCGGATGCAACGGTCGAAGGCGGCGACCGGAAGCGGCGACCAGAATCGGCGACCAGAAGCGGCGGTCAGAATCAGCGACCGGAGGCGGCGATCGAAAGTGGCGGTCGGAGTTGGCGACCGGATGCAGCGGTCGAAGGCGGCGACCAGAGGTGGCGGTCAGAGGCGACAATTGGAGGCAGCGACCAGAGGTGGCGGTTGGTGGCGCGACGACCAGAGGCGGCGGTTGGCGATGCGGCAACTCGAGGCAACGACCAGAG